TCCTATCGTTTCAACTGTTATTTATAAAACCACTACCACGGTGCTTGCACGCTCTATTTGATACGGTACGCCATCACCATACGCCTGCAACCGTGAACAAAAATCATTTGTACTAAACTAATAATTATTTTAAAATGTTTTGTTTTATTATAATTCACAGAGGATAGCGACTACTTGCAGCAAGCGCTGATCGCTAATAAATGGGCCAGCCATGATGGTGAAGATGTTATGATCTATGCCAAAGGTCCCATGGCTCATCTTTTCCATAGTACGCATGAGCAGACCTACATCATGCATGCCATGCAGTACGCAGCATGTATCGGTTATGACAGCACCGATGAGTGTAGATCCAAGAACGAACCTTAACATTGGCTGCCATACCCCTATCGGCGGAATGAATATCTAATGACTTCTGAATTGACCAACATTGTTCAATGACCCAGTTTTGTTGATTCATTTGTAAAATTGAGTTATTGCTATCTTATAAAGTTTGAAAAAGTTTTAACCGTTTTTAAATTTCGATAATTTGATTTTACAGATCAATCAACCGTACCTTTAAAAACATAATTCTATATTCATCCGGCACTTAGGCTTTTCTTTTCCTAAATAGCACTGAATAGTTCTTTACTCTCATATGTATATTGGAGATTTGGGAAATTATATTTCTGTGAAACTTGTGTAATTTCAATCGCTATTGTTTAATAAATATATAGTGAATGAAAAATTTCGATTGTTAACCACAAAAACGTGTTTACTACGCAAACGAGCATTTACCGCACATATTTCGAACATAACTTATTTACCACACATACTTCGAACATAAATTATTTACCACACATACTACGAAACATAACGTGTTTACCACACATACTTCAAACATAAATTATTTACCACACATACTACGAAACATAACGTGTTTACCACACATACTTCAAACATAGCGTGTTTACCGCACATACTTCGAACATAACTTATTTACCACACATACTTCGAACATAAATTATTTACCACACATACTTCGAACATAAATTATTTACCACACATACTACGAAACATAACGTGTTTACCACACATACTTCAAACATAGCGTGTTCACCGCACATACTTCGAACATAACTTAATTACCACACATACTTCGAAACATAAATTATTTACCACACATACTACGAAACATAACGTGTTTACCACACATACTTCAAACATAGCGTGTTTACCGCACATACTAAGAACATAACGTGTTTACCGCACATACTTCGAACATAACGTTGTTTACGCACATACTTCGAACATAACTTATTTACCACACATACTTCGAACATAATTATTTACCACACATACTTCGAACATAACTTATTTACCACACATACTTCGAACATAACGTGTTTACCACACATACTACGAAACATAACGTGTTTACCGCACATACTGCAAACATAACGTGTTTACCGCACATACTTCGAACATAACGTGTTTACCGCACATACTTCGAACATAACTTATTTACCACACATACTACGAAACATAACTTATTTACCACACATACTACGAAACATAACGTGTTTACCACACATACTTCAAACATAACGTGTTTACCGCACATACTTCGAACATAACGTGTTTACCGCACATACTTCGAACATAACGTGTTTACCGCACATACTTCGAACATAACTTATTTACCACACTCATACTTCGAACATAAATTATTTACCACACATACTTCAAACATAGCGTGTTTACCGCACATGCTAAGAACATAACGTGTTTACCGCACATACTTCGAAAATAACTTATTTACTACACATACTTCGAACATAACTTATTTACCACACATACTTCGAACATAACTTATTTACCACACATACTACGAAACATAACATGTTTACCACAAATACTTCAAACATAACGTGTTTACCACAAATACTTCGAACATTACGTGTTTACCGCACATACTTCGAACATAACTTATTTACCACACATACTTCGAACATAACTTATTTACCACACATACTTCGAACATAAATTATTTACCACACATACTACGAAACATAACGTGTTTACCACACATACTTCAAACATAGCGTGTTTACCGCGCATACTTCGAACATAACGTGTTTACCACACATACTATGAACATAACCTATTCACCACACATACTATGAACATAACCTATTCACCACACATACTGCGAAATATAACGTGTTTACCGTACATACTTCAAACATAACGTGTTTACCGCACATACTACGAACATAACGTATTTACACACATACTTCAAACATAAATATAGGGTTTCTAATTTGTGACCACGTGATATCGGATTTATTAGACAAGTGATCACATGGACACATGTAGTTATTTCCACATGCTCCTATCCTTTGGCGGGAAATAATACTACACGAATTGCTTGTATTATAATACTTGGCCTTGATATTTTCATTTGTGATCAGTTACCAAAGGTATATAGATGTATTTAGAGTATTATAAACACGGGAGAGTGTTGGATTACATATATTACCTCACATTTTGGTAGGATTCAAGTACATTTAAATTTATAAACTCTGACCAAACCAGTGAGGGTATATCTGCCATACTCATCTTTGTTTCATGTCGATTGCTTACTCTTTATGGCGGAGAGTTTTCCTGTGTGAATGTGTCACAATACTGATTGAGCTAAGCAGGTGATTGGTAATGGAATACAACATGAAGTTACTATGATACATAGATTGATCAGGTGCGATACTATACCCGACCTCAGCTAGATAAATCCCACCTTTAACGTTTACCAGTTCGGTACACCCCATCTCACAAAAGTTAACCAGTTGGATACATCCCATCTTACAAAAGTTAACCAGTAGGATACACCCCATCTTAAAAAAGTTAACCAGTTGGATACACCGCATCTCACAAAAGTTAATCGATAATTCTCATCTCAGAAAGGTTAACCAGTAGATACATCCACCTCAGGCACGTTAACCATAAGGATACAGCCCATCTTAGAAAGGTGGACAATTTGGATACAGCTCACCTCAGAAATGTTAACCATCAGAATACACCTCATCTCAAATTTGAAGCAAAATGACTTGCAAATATTGTGTTATGCTATGTGTACATAACGACAGCTTTCCCCAACACACAATAAGACAGGATTATATGTACGGATATGTGTGATTATGGAGTAATCTGCCACTCATTTGCTTGGATTCCAACTATATCTGCAGATCAGAGAGCATCCATAAACAAGACACAGAATAGAGGTTTTTCAGTAATTACCTCACTTAATCAAATACGCTCCCATGATGAAACACTGGTACACATTGCCGGAGATAGGATCCAGGTACGGAGGGGGGGGGGGTAATAATACTAATTATCTTCATTGCAATCTTATTCAAATCAGGATATATAAATAAAAATTAGGTTAGCAAACTGATAAAGAAACATAAATTAATGTCAATAAAGTATTATGTAGTATTAACAACATAAAAGCAACTTTGATTTGTTGCATGTAAGGTATATTCTCTTTAATCAGAATCTGGTCTAAAATAGCTACCAAACGATCAGAATTGATCTAATCACAAAACAACTTCGTGTGTTCAGCGTGTCCAAAATATGACGAAGAATGCACGCACGCAACCAAAACTACTAGTTCTAGTTCTAGTAACCACCAAATAATGTTATAATTTTTGAATAATTTGTTGATGATTGAGATACTGGCATACTAATTGAGGAAATATTGTCATAATAAGACCATCATTCTTTGTGCTCTTGGAAACTTCGTTTTGATTATTTTTAAATGCAACTTAACTTTCATGACGTCAAAATCAATACATATTTTATGTGGGCAGAACATGGTGAATACACCTGGCGATAATAATGGATTGCCTTCAGAAAATGTCTTTCTTCCTGTAATTACAATTTCTATACAATATAAATAAAGTGAGTACAAGTTCTTGGGAAAGTAATTTTATTTATGTTTTTTATCTCCTGTCGCAATGTAAATTTGGCATTATGTAGAAATAATTTGACTATTGAAATGCAAAATTGCCAAGTGGACATTTTAATAGCGTATACGACTACAGAAAATAACAAAAAAATGTAGGATTTTGTAGAATGAGGATTTATTTATTATTTCTCATGCAAAATAGTTAATCAAAAAAATCAACTGCAGAACATGACATATACTTTTGGGCACTTTTGGTAGGGTCTTCAGCAACATATTTTTCACTAGCATCTTAACAGCACTTCGCCAGCAGCTTCTGCAAATAAGAAATTACTTGGGGCTTCGTTTTGTAGATTTTCCATGTTTTCTTTTAATATGTATATCGTGGATAACCACCTGCTTAAATATGTGCCTTGCCTTCGACTCCACAGGAAATTGAAGCAAGATACATGCAGGAGAATTCCTCCTCGAGTCTTGTAGGAAAGGTTGATAGTTTGATAGTTTATAAACTGTGATAAAGCGTTTATACTTTCCAAGTAGTGGAATCAGCAAGTTGAATTGTTCCAATGGGTTTAGGTGTAACTTGTTTAGCTGTAACTCTCTGATTCTTAATTCAGGATTCAAACCTGTGTACTGGAACAATAACTTTCAGGTTTTTACACTTGATACAAACACACGACCATGGTGCATACACTTTAAGCCATTGGAGATAATTGTTTTAACACACTCTTGTCCTCTGTGAAGAAGAAGAAAGTTTTATTCATGCTGTACCGTCACAAATAATAATGTGTGGAATATCTCCACATTCTTTACATCTGAATGTCAGCTTGTAGTTTATATCCGAAATAGCAAACATAACCGTTACATGCAATTCTCATCGGGTGGAGACTTTGCGGTCAAGAAAACATATCACATGTTTATATTGTCCTCTATTATCAAGTTATTTTGGTGATGGCAGTAGATACTCAGAAGTAACAAACAAAATATATAATAAATAAATCTAACATTGTAGCTTACACTAATTATACATTATATAAATGTAACGCTCACTTGTGATATGCCGTGTTTTTGAAGTCCATAATAAACACAATCATAATTGTTTAGGGTGAATAATAACAACTCTTGTCCATCAAAGTGTAGATGTCAATCACATGTGCCCACGCATGACCTATAGAATAGGATATAGGGATAGACAAATTAAAATTTATAAAAGTAACTGTTTCAAATGGGCAATGACAATGAGCTTTAAATGTTTGCTACCGTATATACTAATGGCTTCAGACTAACTTACCGGTATTTTCAGGAATTAGAGAAATATTATAGTAATGAGCTGGGGCCTGAAATTGTCACATTTTGTCACTGGCCTTTTATTTTTTCACTTCTGTCAAATATTGAGTCAGTTATTTTACATTCTTCTTTATATACA